AGGTGCGCGTCAACAATACAAACCATACTGGAATTGCGATCTGGAGCAACTGCACAACAATATGGAAACAGAAAGAAAACAAGCTGAGACCAGACCTTGTCAAGAGCAGTTTAACAACTACCAACACTCAAAGGCCAAATTTCAAAGAGCCAAACTGCAGGCTAGACGGAGAAGCTGGCAGGAAAAGACAAAGTCTCTAAACTTTGAAAGAGACACGAGGAAGTTGTGGAGGTTAATTAAGCAAATTAATGATGAGAATACAGGAAGAAATGGTAATATTGCACTATGCAAAGAGGGAGCCATCCTAACAAGAAAACAGGCAGCTGACCACTTTGCAGATTCTTTTGCAGAAGGCAGCAACATTAATGTCAGCCCAGAGAAACAGCGAGAGGTTCGAGAAAACAAACAACATACAAGACAAAAAGATATAATTCCTGAGGCACTGGTGGCAGCATTTACATCTAGCGAGTTAGAGCTAGCAATATCAAAGCTTAGAATGGGAAAATCACCTGGAACTGATGGAATCACCAACGAAATGATCAAGAACCTTGGAACAACTGCCAAAATAAAGCTGCTACAGATCTTTAATCATTGTTGGACAAGTGGCAAAGTTCCTCAAATATGGAGAGAAGCAATCACAATACCTCTGCTTAAACCAGGAAAGGACAGTTCTGATGCCTCCAGCTATAGACCGATCAGTCTTACCAGCTGCCTCTGTAAAACAATGGAACGTATTGTCAACCTTAGACTCCAATGGTACTTGGAAAGTGAAAACATTTTCACGCCGCAGCAGGCAGGATTTAGACAGTGCTACTCCACAGAAGACCAGACAACTTACCTTTCACAAGAAATTGAGGATGCCTTCCAGGAAAAGAAGCTAGTGCTAACGGCATGGATAGATCTGAAGAAAGCCTTTGACAAGGTCTGGAAAGAAGGTCTACTGAAGAAACTGAGAGACTGCAGGGTGAATGGGAGTATGTACAAATGGGTGAAAGCATACTTGTATAAGATCCCGAGTACAGATAGATGGACTTAAGAGTAAGAAAGTTTTGCTTCGCCATGGCGTCCCACAAGGAGGTGTCCTGTCCCCCACACTCTTCCTAGTCTATATCAACGACCTGCTTTCTGAACTACCCCATGGAATTAAAGCTGCAATGTATGCTGATGACTTGGTACTCTGGTGTACAAATGAAAATGCGACAGTGGCCACCAGACTGCTACAAAGAGCCATAGATGCAATGGCTGATTGGGCCGACAAATGGTGTGTCAGCATCAACATAGGCAAATGCAGCACCACCCTCTTTACCCTTTCTCCTAAACAAAAATCAGGCGTCATACACATAAATGGAGTACCCATGAGAGAGGATAAGGAGCCCACATACCTCGGAGTAACGTTTGATGATAGATTAACATGGAGAAAACACATCAACAAGGCAGCAACCAAAGCCAGAAGGAGGGTAGCCATTCTAAGAAAACTAAGTGGAACCACATGGGGTGCTAGCGGGAAAATACTTAGAAAAGTTTACCAACAAAGTGTTCGACCACATCTTGAATACGGATCAACAGCATGGAGTTCGGCATCAAAAACCACATTGCAAGAATTAGACAAAGTGCAAAATCAAGCACTCAGAGTTACCACAGGCAGTATGAAATCAACACCTATAGCTGTGATGGAGAAAATGGGGATGACCCAAGCACTGAGTGAACGCAGAGACACCAAGATGCTTTTACAAGCAGAAAAGTTTCTTAGTATGCCCAGTCACCCTATGAATGAAAGATTCAAAAATTTAGCTTTGGGACGACTAAAGAGAAGTAGTTTTATCCACCAGGCCAAACGGCTCGGCAGACAAACCACTGATTTACCTGCAACTGATAGATCCTTAAATGCTGTCCCAGAACGGACCCCCTGGAGAGAGGAGTATAAGTTTCCAATACACATCAAGACTGAAGTGAAAGGGGTATTTGACAAGGAAGAACAAAACAGTGTGCAGCGCAAAACAGCCACCCTCAGTCTACTTGATGATGAATACCCGCAGAACTTTTGGGTCCGTGTTTACACAGATGGGTCAGCAGAAAGCGCAGTCAGAAACGGAGGTGCAGGAGTGTACATTGAGTATCCTAATAATACCAGGGATACAGCCAAATTACCAACGGGAAAGCACTGTCACAACTATGATGCAGAAGTTCAAGCCATCAAGATAGCGGTAGAGAAACTACTAAATACAGGGTATTTTTCACAACCAGTGGTATTCCTGACAGATGCAAAAGCAGTACTTCAGTCACTCCAGTCTGGAAAATTACCAAGCATACGGACACTATTATCCGAACTAGGCAACCGCTGTAAATTAGTAATGCAGTGGATACCTTCCCACTGTGGAGTTCCCGGAAACGAAAAAGCTGATAAACTAGCTAAGGAAGGTGCAACTGAAGAACAACCTGACATACCAGTCTCTTATCAACAGAAGAAGAGAATGATCAAATCAATCAGAATGCCACCGAAACTGGCACAAGATGATTACCATATTATGGACAGACCAGAGCAAGTCATTATCCTTCGCCTTAGAACAGGGCACAATCGACTTCGCTCCCACATGTACAACAAATTTAAGATTGGCCAATCAGCCATGTGTACTTGTGGACTGGCACCCGAAACAACAGATCACATCCTTCAAGACTGTCCCAGATTCAACGCTTTCAGGCAAAACCTTTGGCCAAAAGAGACACTTGTGGAAGTCAAACTTTACGGGCCGCTTAGTGAATTACAAAAAAACAGTGAAATTCATACTAGAGACGGCTTTGCAGATATAGACAATTTATTTCATGCGAACGAAAGAAGAAGAAGAAGGTCAAGGCCATTTCCAGAGACAGTCTTGGTTAGGTCAAGGCCATTTCCAGAGACAGTCTTGGTTAGGTCAAGGCCATTTCCAGAGACAGTCTTGGTTAGGTCGAGGCCGTTTCCAGTGAAGTCTTGGCTAGGTCAAGGCCATTTCCAGAGACAGTCTTGGTTAGGCAAATCAGCTAGGCCCCCTTACACATTTCTAGGGCAAGACCAGCTTCACCCCCCCCCCCCCCACCCCAATCAATATAACTGGGAGAAGTCTCCAGGGGTGTAAGCCCGAGCTGTGTATGTGCGTGCATAATTACGCATGCATTAGTGTATTACGACACACTGATCAAAATGGCTGCTTTCCTACGAAATACGTAGGTGTAATTACTGCTCGCTCGTGACTAAATTAGTCACGTGGTAGCTACAAGTTTTTGTGTGAAGCGCTCACAAACAGAGACCATTCCTGTGAATCCTTAGATTCACCAGAGCACCAGTGGCGTTACATAATCAACAGGTTTCTCCGGTACAGGGTCCAATCGATAACCGGACGTGAGTAATCGTTAAGTTTTCTTACGAGAATCGATTTGTGACAAATATAGGTTACCTCCCTTATTATCTCCTGCTTAAAAGGGCCCGAGTTTCTAGGGAAATGAAACGTCAGTTTTGAAGTTGGGTTTAATAGATCAGCTAAAGAGTTCGTGAATATTTTAACAGGGAAAGGTCTATACTCATTGCCGTGTGTGTTAATTGTTTCCCAGGATCAATTACCGGAAGTCGAGTGTGTTTCACACTTGCTCTTGTGTCGAGGTCAATGGCTAATATATTCGCTAAATAAGTAAAGCCATTCGAAAACCAATGTTTTGACATGTATTTTTTTTTTCTCTTATTTTATTTTTTTTTTTTTTTGCACTGGAACCCACGGGCATAGAAATAAAGGAAGACCAAAAAACACACGGAGATGGGAGCTAGAGAGTGGCGTAAAAAAAAAGATGGGGAGAAAATGGGGAGAGTTGCATGCAATAGCGAACGATAGAACAGCCATGGCGAGAGTTGGTTGAGGGCCTATGCTCCACTGAAGGCTAGAGAGGCAGAAGAAGAGCTACACACAGTGGACTACACATCACCTAGTAACGGTTTTGTAGTTCCCACGTATAGCTGTGTAATCTGACTATAAACTTGAAATGGGTTTCTGGGATCTGTACCTGTCTGATTCTCATCCTTGGGGTCTTAATCCCCCAGACTACAATCGTGGCAAGGAAATACTAAAATAATAACAATCACTAAAGTAGATCTATCCACAGAAAGTAGTTAAGGTTTATCAATAAAGGCAGTCATTCGTTCGCTGGCACCTTTCTGTATTTCCAGACGCGTTTTATAATGTGCTGTATGGAATCATATCATCACAGCCCAATGAGATGGCGAGTGTGACCAATGCTGTCTTCAATACTAATTAATTAAATTTAACATGTTTTTCTCTAATTTGATTGCTTGTCTTGATTTTACTGGTTGCACTTATGCAATGTAGATCTATCTTTCAATGTAGATCTATATATTTTTCCTTTTAGCTTGAATTTACCTTTATAGTAGAGAGAGAGTAGAGATCGCTTTTCACGCCTTTCGGCGCATCGGGCATATGGGCAGAGCGTCCCATATTTTTACAGACCATCAGCACTCTGTGGGTAATGTGGTCAGCGTTACGCCGGCTGTCTTTACTTTCCCAGGACAGCCCATCCTGGTACCCATTTTAGGCTGGGTCGACCTGCGACGTCCCATACCACGACAAAAATCCACGCAGCCTGCAGTGGGTTTCGATAGCTGTATGCTGGCTTACGAGTCGGACTCGCAACGCCTTAGCCACGGACGCCGCTCATATACATGTTCTATAATCGAGCTTATTCCTAGAATCTTTGGGGTGAGACTGAGGGAACGGCCGGCACACACCGAAAAAAAACAGGACTGTCCTGGTGAAAACTGTAGGTATGGTCACCGTATTTCTAAAACATCCACTGCCTTACTGAAAGTTGCTTATGTTTGTATAGTTAGCCCGGAGTGGTGACGTCATGTCAAGCTGACGTCATCAGCCACATGACCTATGTTGAAGACGGCCTTGGCACAGCCTCATCAAAAATTAGGAAAAGGGTAACTTTTTTTAAAGGGTGGAACAGGTACTCACCGGTAGTCAGGATCAGGTCGACCCGAAGGCGGGAACACTTTGATCTCAAACCTCTCTTGTACTGGAATCACAATAGGATACGACGGAAGAAGTCGGGGCTCAAAGGACTGTGACGTAATGTCGTCTAGATCTGAAATAAAAATAAAAATGTATTCATACAATCATTAATATTATTGTATACAAATATATTCCAACAATCATGACTATATTTTTTAATACAAACATATTCCAACAATTATTACCTTTCTAACACTTTATTGTCAAAATGATACCACCACTATTGTAGTTGTTATGTTTTGACTATTTAAACAGTACTGTTGGTCGTATTTTTAGACAGTTCACCGCTGCGCCCTTCAGTTCACGAGTGCAATTTTTACGGAGATCCATGGGGATCGTCGCCGGAGCTAAGGAGTTCGTGCTCTGTGCGGCGGTATCGGCATACGGCCGAGCACGGTACATACTGAAGCAATTTTTCGACAGCCAGAAAATGCAACAAGAAGGTCTGGAATGCAATCAACGCCCTCTTTCCCACTGCAGCATTGAAACAACTATTCTAGTTAAGGATTCTGCGACCGTAAAATTTTCCATCTTTTTCACATTAATTTTATAGCCAAGAGTGCAGCGAATTATTTGGTGTGAATAAACTGAGTACACAAAGGATAGAGAAAATATGTCACTCCGCAAATGTAATGTTTTCCCCTACACGGCAGAAGGCAAAAGGAAAGCAGTTTTGATCTAGACGTAACAAGGAACGATGTTTAAGATGGGAAGGAACCTTGTAAATAGAAGAAGTTTATAAATAGCTCTTTTTCTCTGTCACGAGTAATAGTTTGATTAATTGAAAACATGGATTGGATTTTCGAAAGATGTTTTTCTAAGAAAAAACACGTAATGTTATTTGTGAACTATGTGGGGCTGTACATTACTGTAATAGAATTTACATGTAAATATCGCATCTGTGTGTGTATGTGGCCAGATTGTTTTATCGTGTAAAGACCAAAACATTGCGTCTCCTTGTAGGTTTAAACGTCTTTGTATGTCGGCACTGCACGGTGAACATGGTGCTATCTTGTTGTCTGCAGTCGAACAAGGAAGTTGCTTTTTGTAGAAGTCAAATACAAGGGCTAGAGGGCGTGATGGATGTCACTGCAGCAGAACGTAGAGACAAAGGTCTTAGTTTGAACAGCAGGGGCCGGGTGGGTAGGAGGGGCGGGAGGCAGAAGAAATTGTCTTGATAAAGGAAATTTCCAGAATATGACATTAAAGAAAATGGGACACACATAAAGAAAGACTTAACAATGGTCTTAGTTTTAAAAGTGGAAAATGCATCTGCCCGAGAGAGAGAGAGAGAGAGAGAGAGAGAGAGAGAGAGAGAGAGAGAGGGGGGGGATCAACAGTCTGCATACAAATAAGCCAGATCTGTAACACGGATGTGCACGACGCAACACTCAGGTTCTGGAACTAATATCTGGAAGTGGACGAACAATCATAACTTTATAACCGGCGAGAGCGAAGGAGAGAAATAGTGAAAATTCCTGAGTAGGTAACGGTGCTCCTGTTGTTGGCGGGAGGTGGATGCGGTGGAGGGTGGGGTGGAGGCAGCAGATCCTCCACCATCTAGCAAGCATGTCATTCAAGGCAACTAATTAGAGATCTGTCGAAATCGAACGGGTTTGGCTGGAAAGGCACATATATCGTAGCCTAGGTGTAAACAACAACACAACCTACCGTCGCCCTTAACAAGTGCTGGAAGAAGAAAAAGAAACGGAGAAAAAAACAGATGTTGTGCTAATGAAAAAAAAAAAAAAAACGTGTCCCTCAGAATGCAAAAAAGGACCATTTCAAAGCTCGGTGAATCTGGGAGCCAAGATCATTTTTGAAAAAAAAAAAAAAAAAAGCCAGGCCCCACCAGGCCCTAAACTCAGGACCTTCCATTCCACAGGCAAGCGTCTAGTTGCTACACCGCGGCGATTCCTTCCTCCAGAATGTGCTCCTAAACTGGACACGTTTGAAGAAAGAAAAACCAGAAGTCTTACTTTGAAAAGTACGAGCCGGCGGGGGGGGGGGGGGTGGGTTGAGCAACATACTTCTCAAGCTTCACAGATTTTTTAAAAATATTCTCTGATGTATTTCCTCTCACAGCATGACCAAACAATCACGACAAAGCCACCAGAAAGCAAAGTTGTTAACCCTTCGGTATTATGGATATCGCAACTTTCGGCCTTGATTCCATTGTAAATACCGTAAATCTGGGAGAAATGTGGCTTTTCTGAGCGTTCGTGCATCTCCCCTGTAGCAATCAAGGCCATTGAGCGTGCATCTCCCCTGTAGCAATATACGGATGTGAGTCGCGGACTATCTCGCGGTCACTGGGGAGTAAGACAGGAGCCTTTGACCTGAAATTTTATAGAAATGATTCTTAGATCATACTAGACCAAAAAGAATAGAAATACTGACATTCTAAACGATCTGAACATCAAGGAAGTTTGGCTACACAAAAAAAAAAAAAAAACGCAAGTTTTCCAATTTCACAAATAATATGATTCTGGGTGTATTATCTCATACTCTGTTTTATTCTAACCTGGTGGTCGGCAAATCGCGGCTCGCGAGCCGCATGCGGCCCTTTAGCGATTTGAATGCGACTCGCCCAGTCGGCCATACTTTGGTTCTGACCCCAGAAACATGTTCTTGAACAAAAATTTTGCTCTGCAAAATTGTTTGTATTGTCCTGCAGCTGATTTCTGGCTCATTTGACTAAAGAGTTTGGCGGCCACTGTTCTGACGTGTATCGTATTTAAACTGAATTAAATAATCAACTTGGTTGGCGTCAACTTACATGTTTTATCAACTTATGTATCTTCAAGTTTGTTGAGATTAACTAGTGTTTTTTTTAAGTAGGGGCCTCATAGCTTTATTTAGCTTAGGGCCTCACCAGGTCTCAATCCGGTCCTGGCCACAGGACGGATACTTGAGAGGGTCTGAAGTTTCTTTCTGTAAGCCCGTATTCTGTTCCTTCGCTGTAATGAGAAACTGTTTTCCCCTCTTGCCTCCATGCTTATTTCTCTATCTCAATGTATCCCTCGCACCGGTTTTCACCGACTAATTTTCTTCACCCTCCTCCCACTCAACTCATTTTCTCGCTCCTTTTTTATTTTAAAGTCAGAATTCTCCAAAACATTAAGCTAAAAACAGGAAGAGAATTGGAAAACGTTGGAAGAGTTTTCCCTCTGCAGCGCACGAAAAAGAAGAATGTTTCCCTGAAGAAAAGTTGCTTCCCTTTCAGCTGGATAAATTCCCCTATCAACAAAAGTGAACGGCTCAGAGGGAAGGCTTGACAAGAGAAGTAACTCTCATTCTGATCCAAGACGTAAATTGATCTGTAGAACATAATTTATTTTTGTCATCAAAACAGATCACTGGTTTTTAGGGAATTTCGCACGAGAAAAGACAAAATAGGAACTTGTGTCTGGTCTAGCTTCACGCCAGGTGCAGTGGAAAATAATTTGCTCGGTCTGAATGGAGTTATGTTGGTGCTGACAAGTATCTCCCTTGTTTCATCGGGAAACGGCTCAATGAAAAAACACGACTCAAAACAAGGAAAGAAGAATATAGTTTTGTTCCTCACCGGCCCAGCAACCGCCTGCACAAGCTTGTTACAATGGCAGATGTTGATCACGAGGAGACCTTTGAGGGGGGCTGATGCTGGGGCCTCACAGACGTACCCCATGCAGTGCAGCTCTCTCAGGAAGAACGGCTATGTTATTGTTAAGGGACGCCCTTGCAAAATCGTAGAAATGTCTACATCCAAGACCGGCAAATATGGCCATGCCAAGGTCCATATGATAGGAATTGACCTATTGACCAATAAAAAATATGAAGACATATGTCCATCTACGCACAAAATGTCAGTGTCTAATGTCGTCCGCACGGATTATTTATGAGCCTGGATGATGGTGGTTTCTTGTGCCTGATGAGCGACATTGGGGAGGCCCCCGAAGACCTCAAATGTCCAGAGGGGGACATAGGACAAGAAATTAGAGAGAGATCTGAAAGAGACGAATGATTCAATGTGACAGTTCTCAAAGTCATGGGGGAAGAAGTTCCAATCGGTTGCACAAGCGGCCAAGACTGAGTGCCCAACCTTGATTAGACGGCCTCTGACCCACTATTTAACTTTTTTGTTTCCAACTGTTTTGATTACAAGAAGGCAAGCATTGATCGGGAACTATTTTCACCACATCACATGGTATTGACATCTAGCCTCATTGCTGCCAGACTGAACGTTTATGTTGTCCACACTGAGTTGCTCATTAAATGTTCTGAAAATCAGCACACACACAAAAAAAGTTTGTTGCTAAAAATTCGAAATCTGTTACACGGAAGGCGAAACAAATCGTGGAAGATAAGTAGCAGCGTAGTTGGACTTAAGACAGGTTAAAGAGACCGAGAAACCGCTTGGAGGTATGATGTCCGTTTAAAATATGAAAACTAGTTGGTTCATATCCAACATACCAAAGCTAAAATAAAACAACACACGAATCTATATGGATAGTTGAATCTCGCGAAAAGAACTAACTAGACAACAATAGTATCCAGTTCCAATTGAGGGGCAATGTTAAGGGAAGCTAGCAAGAGGCGAGCAGCGATACAAGTGGCAGGATAATATCAAAAGATGGACTAACAGTAGTCTGCAAGTGTTTACGGCACTTGACTGATTGAGTAAGTAAGGGGCTGGTTAATTGAAAAGTTGACTGACTGATTGACTGATATTCGGTACAACTACAGATCACTTAGGGCGATCTAGGGTGTGGCAAACTTCATCTAGTGGGGCCATCTGGTAAGAATGCAGCCAGAACTATCAAACGCTTGCATGAAAAGATCTGATGTGACAGCAAGAGGCCGCCCTAGGAAAACATGGACTGATGAGATTCTACATCGACATGGAATGACAATAGACAATGTTACACATCTAGTGATGGATTGCACTGTTCCTCCCCCACGTCACTTAACGGCAGAAGTGGAAATAGATCATGATGTTGTTGATGAGTATTGGTGCTGTAGTTGTAGCAGTGGTGGTGGTGGTAGTAGTAGTAGTAGTAGTAGTAGTAGTAGTAGTAGTAGTAGTAGTAGTAGTAGTAGTAGTAGTAGTAGTAGTAGTAGTAGTAGTAGTAGTAGTAGCAGCAGCAGCACCAGCAACAGAAGTAGTATTACTAGTAGTAGTAGAAGTAGCAGCAGCAGCAGTAGTAGTAGTAGTCGTAGCAGCAGCAGAATTAGGAGTACGAGTAGTTGTAGTAGTAATAGCAGCAGCACCAGCAGAGCAGTAATAGTTTTAGTGCCAACAACAGCAGCACCAGATGTACTGATCAAAGAAACAGACAAGGCAAGTGGACAATGTGGAGGCTGGACATGAAAGATAAGAAAGCGGCTGTCGCTGAGAAGGAAGCTATTGAGGGGACACACAAACCACTAAAAGGCTGGAAAAGAGTCGGCTAACGATAGGTAGTTCAGTTTAATCCACCCCAAACAAAATAAAACCGGGTATTTATGGAATAGTCCAAACACACCACGTGACAGTATTTTCTTTATTTCGGCTTCCTTTATATAATGTGTGTTCTGTTAACCCTAATCCTAAAACCTTCAAACCCAACTTTAACCCCAACTCTAACTAATGTTTACTATAGCTACCAGGTTTGTTAGGGGTAAATTAAAATACCAACCAGTGCATCTAAAAAAAAAAAAGATACAAAAAAAAAACAACAACAACAACAGCAAGAACAACGAAAATAACATATTTTACGGCATTCATTGATCGGAGTTATCAACATGCATTGCTTACACAACCCGACCACCCGGGACACCATCTCCTTATTTAATGATAACAGACTTTCTCCGATACACCGCACCTACCTGGCTAGAACTATTTGCTCTACTTTTATGTGGGAACTAGCGGGCGCAGCTTCTATCTCCCGCGCCCAGTTGATACAAACTGATAAATTCAATTCGACGCCACGTGTTCATCTCACCCCGAAGGTAACGTTGAATTTATAATGAACATTTTAACTTGATAAGAGTTAATAATTGTCGGTGAGTACACTTTGTACATGGAGCCGCTGTTGTGTAACGGCAAGACGCTCGCCTACGGATCCAACGGTCGTGGGTTCGAATCCGCTTATAGCAGATTTGTTTCAAACACCTCAGCTCCCAGGTCGAATCAGCCTTAGATGCAAGGCTGGATTAAGACCCTCTGAGGCCCTAAGCACGGAGAAGATTGTGCTGCCCCCCCCCCTCACCCAAGCACTGAAAAGACCTTTGTACCCCTTTCCCACAGAGCCGTCTTAACCGCATTCTGGGCCCCTGGGCAAGCCAATGTGCTGGGGCTCCAACGACAGCCATGCACTGGAATATAAGGTAAATAGTCACCTAACATACACAAGTGAGCACTGTTCGTGGGGCCGCAAGTGAGTACCGAGTGGGCCCCTTCGTTAAGACAGCACTGGTGCCCCTAGATATAAGACTTTTAAAATATAAACAATAATGAACCATAACATTAAATATTATTTATCGAAATTAAGCAAAACTTAGACTACGATGGAAAATAATATACTGTTGTATACTTTCACTCATTTAAATTTGAAAAGTTTTCTCCTAAATTTTATATTGCATAGTCTTTGATCAGATCTTCAAACCAATCTTATGTCACACAACTGCTTCTATACGTAACATTCATTAGGTTTTCTGGTCTGGCTGGTTGCACCAGTGTTTCGATAATATTGTGAAATTACGACTTCAACAGAGAAAGTATACGCTCAGCTACAAGGTTATTGCAAATTTACATAGTGCCCCCTCCAATATTGATGCTCTAAGCACGTGCTTAATGCGCTTAAAGGTTAACCCGGCCCTGTTTAAGTGAGTAGTATCAGGTACAGTTGGATATATCATAAACACTTCGGCTTTCTAGCGAAGTTGATTAAACCTGACTTTCGCGGCGGCCGGGTGACGAACTCCTTGTGGTCCGGGTTTACTCCCGGGGGTAGGCAGAAAAGCCACATTTCTCCCAGATTAACGGTACCTATAATGGAATCAAGGCCGAAGGGTTGCGATATCCATAGTACCGAGCGCAAAGGGTTTACAACTCATGGTTTCTGGATACGTTTAAAAAAAAAAAAAAAAAAAAGAAGGAATGTTACTTATTTTCTTTACTCTTAAAACATTGAAGACATACAAGAGCTCCTACATCGACAAGGAAGGATAATAGACAATGCTGCCCATCAATCAATGGATCGCAAACTGTTGCTCCCCACGAGGCTTAACGGCTTTTTAACAAGCATGTCGTAAAATGCGACTCATTAGAGAATGACTGAAACGGAACGTGATGGTCTGAAATCACGACCTTGCTGTAAACCACAACACAACCGGCCAGCCGCACTTGCAAGGCGAATGTAGAAAAAGAAGGACAGATATTAAACTGATACGGTTATTTTATATCAAGACCAATGTAAAAACAGGATCACTATTAGTTATAATATGTTTTTTTCTCGTAAGTTCTCTCGTAACGAAACAAACATAAAATGGGTAGGTTAATCTATCTCATTGCATGACAAGCTATTAGAAACTACTTTCATTGCCTGTAGTTTTTTTTCCTTGCCGGGTTCGATCTCAGCTGCGGTCGATTAGGCAGCAAGCCACCTTGCATTGGTTTAGACGGTGATATCCAGAGATAATCGTCCAAAAAGCAATGGCAAACTACCGAACGTACAAACAGCCACAATAACAAATGGGGTTGGTTGCCGCAGCATCTTGTAAAGGAAGGGTGCTCCGTGATCTCGAGGTATGGTGTCCGCTTCGAGTGCTGAAGGTTCCGGGTTCAATCCCCAGTAAGGGCTGAGATTTTTTCACGTGGACTTGGACTTCTAGTAATTCCCCCTGGCATCTGGGTAGTGAGATCGGACGCCCGTGTGCATTGTTGCGCACGTGAAAAATTCCTTGGCAGTTGGAAATCAAAAGAATAGCCTAACAGCTAACTAAGATGTTTCAGTCTCAGGATGGTCTGGTAAACTTTTAGGTAGTAGCTGGGATAAGACAGACTGGTGGATGGATCGATCCAGTGGGACAATGTTTGCAATGAGATTACATTATATTTATGTATGTACGTATCTGTGTGTGTGTGTGTGTGTGTGTGTGTGTGTGTGTGTGTGTGTGTGTGTGTTATATGTGGCAATATGTCTTGTGTAAATAGATGGTTATGAGTTAGATTATCTTCACAGCACTCCGGCCACATCCATAGGCGCTCAGATTCCCCTCTCAACATATTCGTCAGCATCGTGCAGTTAATAGTACCAGTCCTATGTTGGTTAACAAGACTTTGTGTGCGTCCAGTGTGCTTCTCATGCTTGGCTGTGTTGATCTTTACTCCCAGTTCTCGTATTCTTAGAAGTGATGTGGACATGTTGCTTCCAAAATCCTCAGAACGTCCTATCTCTCTTAGGGCAATGACAATGTCTGCGTGATCCATAGGCCGGCCATCTTCAATTTATGCAGTGCCTGCCAGTTTATCAGCTGTCTTATTACCAACAACGCCTGCATACCCTGGGACGAATATGAAAGTAACTGCACACAGGAGAATTTTGCAGTGACTCAAGTCACTGTCTGCGTAACCAGCCTGCCTCGACCCGCCGGATCATACTCAAAGAATCACTCAGCACACACACGCGGGAATAGTCCTGTGATCCCAGCCACATGAAAGCTTGTGTCGCTGTCGTCACCTCCATCGTCATGCTGCTGGTGGTCATGGAGATGGCACCGCTGGCTTCCTTAACTGTTCTGCCTGAAGAGCGAGTTGTAAATGCCCATGCACTCTTATGTCCTCGTATAACAGACCCGTCTGTGAAGTTCTCCACATCTGTCTCATCTGACTTGTCACTGATAAGCGCGCACACCTCGGCATTGACAACAGCTGGATTCTGCTCCCGACAACTCCTATCGAGCGTCACGACACAGGAGAATGTGAGATTGGGCGCTTTAGACTCTGGTATCCATTCCTCACCTGGATGGATATCTGTAAGG